GGGGCGCGAGACGGCGGCTCGGGAGTTAAAGCAGGTGCGCGCCGCGCCCTCGGGCGCTGGGACCCGGACGGGACGGGACCGGGACGGGGTCCGTGGTCCAGGAAGGGCACCGGGGGTGGAAGCAGGCACGTCGCAAACCTGCGGATGAGCAGGAGGGGCTGCTCGGTCTCCGTGTGGTCCCCGGGAAAGTATTTGTTAGCTAGAAACTAAGGGACTTGCCGTCGGTCCTCTCCTGCCCCCCGCCCCCAGGGCCACCCGGTTCGGCGCAAAGTACAGGGAGACGTTACTGAACTGATTTTACAGTCTGACTTTCTTTACCATCTTTTCAACCCGCCACCAGAAATGCATTTAAGCAACGGTCACTTCTCCTCGGAAGAGGAGGATTCGGACGGTCAGGACGGCAAGGCCGGGGCGGCCGGCGCGCGCCTGTCCCCGCGGAGGACCGTCGCGCAGGTCCTGAGAGACAAGAAGCAGCAGGCGCAGCTCACCCTGCAGTGGTAAGAGGCGCGGCCCCGGGCCTGGTGGGAAGTGGGGAGGACGCACAGAAACGTGCCCAGACTCTCCACCGAGTGCTGGGCATCGTGGGAAGTGGGGAGGACACACAGAAACGTCCCCAAACTCTCCACTGAGCGCTGGGCATCGTGGGAAGTGGGGAGGACACACAGAAACGTCCCCAAACTCTCCACTGAGCGCTGGGCATCGTGGGACGTTGGAAGGACAGACAGAAACGTCCCCAAACTCTCCACTGAGCGCTGGGCATCGTGGGAAGTGGGGAGGACAGACAGAAACGTCCCCAAACTCTCCACTGAGCGCTGGGCATCGTGGGACGTTGGAAAGATAAACCAGAAACGTGCCCAAAGCTCTTCTCTCTGCGCGCTGGGCACAGGCGCGCTCTGGTCCTGGGGAAACGGTCTGCGGCGCAGGTGACCACCGAGTCCCTTTGTTCATCACCGGCTGAAACTACGTTTCATTCCGACGCCGGCGATAGCGAATGTGTTTATGACTTGTTTCCCTAATCTGGAATCATTTTGCTCCTTCTATATTAGTTATTTGGTAGATTTGTGATTATAAAACATGACTCTTAAAATTTTTTTTAGAAGAATGAAGGATCTTAACATCGCCTTTATGCCTAAGAGGGCAAATATAAAAAAGGGGGTGAATTAAAAACTGTGTATTGGCCATAAGATGAAGTGAGTTTGAACTAGAAGACATGGCAAAATCAGTTAAGATACCGCTATTAACTTAAATAATTGTTCAACTATTTTTATAGCACTTGTCATATATGATTTATTATAGTGAAATATCACAAACTGGATGTTGTGGAAAATCTCTTAAAGCCAACAATTTATCAGTAGGCTCTCTCTCTAAAGGACATTTAATAGCATTGATCTAAAGGTAAGAGGGATCTAAAGTAAAATATAATATTAAACTTCCCCTCATATTGTGAAGAAATGAGTGTAAATTTTCTCCCAAATTCCAAATAATAAGCAAGTAAGGAAAAAGATCTATTCACTGATTATTTGCATAATTTGTTTATATGTAAAGTGTTATCTAAATCTTAGAAAAATGCAAACAAAAAACCAAACAGTCCAGCATAAAAAACTAGTAAACTTTTATTTTTATTTATTATAACATTGAATTACAGTTTTATATACTAAATTTTTATAATTATATATTTGAACCCTTTCAAATGTTTGAAGTATAAACCAACGATCTTCTAAAGTTCTGGCTTAACTATTGAAGTTGATGTCACACTTACTGGTTTAGAGTACACCAGAGCAGTAAATAATTGAGCTAATAATCTGGAGTGATTAGGATACAACTATTTTCATTAGGAGAATGGGGGCAAAAGTGTTTTGATTTCAGATATATTATGGAGGTCTTTTGAATGATCACTCCCATTTGTGTTTTTAGTTCAAATTGAGTGAATGGAAACAAACGTGGGTTTTTATTTTATAAATATGAATATACTATGATTAAAGAAAAAAGTTATACTCTAAATTAACACTGTACTCATGTCTAGTATTACTCCATAATTTAAAGACAAAGGAATTCTTACAAAATCATCAAAACAGCCAGGTGAAAAGTAGACATTATATGCATGTCATTAACGTATAATTTTTATATAGTCGATTTTTGAAATCTCAGTGATTTTCATATTTTTTGAAACTATAAAATGCTGTCATTTTAATTTAAATTTTCCACACCCTTTCACCAAAACATGTTATGTATTAAAAAAACACACAAAAAACCTAAGTGAGTTATTTGTATTTTGAGAAATTTCCCTTAAATTTATAGATTATATTGGGGATGGTAAAAATTAGAACTGAAAGTTAAAGTGAAAAATCTGGCTGAGTAATTCCAATTCTCTGTCTACTAGGGGTTTGGTTTTATGTATGCAAATCTTACTTTGTTTTTGGTTCCCTTTTTCCTTCTTCATAGCAAAACAGATGTCTGACGCTTTACCTGCTTAAGGAACATGCCCTTTACCTTTTATCTCATGTACCTTAGTAATATGTTAAATCAAGGACCTTAAAGAGTTCCACCCCATTTTATCTGAATATACGCTCTATATTGCATTGTTCTCAGATAGTAATAATTATGACTTTACATAAAATGGGTAAATTTTAGCCAAAATCACCTGTTGAATTGTTCGATAAACTGGAAACAGAATCTACAAGTTCTGATTTCTTGATTGCTGTTCAGTTATTTGTAACCCTAAATATATTACATTTAAATAAATTGTGTTCAATTACAATGATAAATATCCAAATTAAATAGAATTATTTCTAACTTTTCAAAGTCTGTATTATTATATTTATAATATAGAGATGAATTTATGTCATGTTTGCAGGTATCTATAGAGAATTATATAATGTTTCGAGTGTACAGTACTGCTCACAGCTAACAAGTGTAGGATAGAAATAGATCAGTGTCATTTTAGAGTTAAGTGAAGTGAGCTTACTCTGAAATATTTTCCAAATAAATGCATCACCATGCTTCCCTAACTTTTCGGGGTTCAGAACTACTTTGTGAATGAAAGTAAATGATTGTAGATGTTTGTCATCCTGAAGGCTGGCAGCCCTTTAGTGTTGAGAATCTTCTTTTAAAAAACCATCATCTTCAGTGTCACCATTAATATTTGTATATCACAGAGCAAACCCTGATGAACAGTGAGGACTTACATAGAAGGACGACCTATTCTTTGAGGTGTGGATCAGGCAGGAGTGGGTTTATGTTAGCTATTTAGGCACTAGCAGGTGTTCATTGGGGCTCTTGCTCTTCTCACGTTAATCCTGTGATCTGATTCTGAATAATATCCTGAATAAAGGATATTATTGTGTTTAATAATAGTCTGCTTACATCTAGTCATGAACTCACTTGCATAAAACCTCTATTCAAAATGGGCATTAAATCAGTATGAAAGGGGAGTGAAAAGGGGAAATAAAATGTTTGCTCTAACTTATAGCCTTTTTTCTTAGGCTTGAAGAGAATTACATTGTGTGCGAAGGAGTTTGCTTACCGCGGTGCATCCTGTATGCGCACTATTTAGATTTCTGCAGGAAAGAGAAATTGGAGCCAGCCTGTGCAGCCACCTTTGGAAAGGTATGTGACACATATTGGCTAGACTGCCTTACAATTAAAGTCATGTCAGGCAGGCAGTATGGAAACAAATTCATCTGAGCAAGTTTTCATGCAGAATAGTAAGAAATTTGTTTTTCAAGCATGAAACAAAATCTCTTAAGAGTTGTATCTGGAACTACTATATATTTTACTTTGATTTTACCTACTAGATGTTTTACATTGAACTACTATATATTCTGAGTATTAGAACCCTGACTATCAGAAGATTTAATGTGACCTTACAGGAAACTCCATTTGAGCAGTGACATTTCCCTTCAAGGAGGGATATAGAGAAGAGTGAGTCTGGCCTGTGTTGAGAAGCAAAATTAGGTGGAGGTGACAAGTATCTTGTTAATGCAGTTGGTGATTACATTTATTATTTAGCTAGTCCAAGTATATGGTTTTTTAATACATTTTTATTCTATTACATAAATAGTTCTCCTCATTCTCCATTTCACTTTGAGTATGTTTACACCTCATACTCCAAGATGTGATGAGATTGGCTAAATTTCTCTCATTTATAAACATTTCTTTCTATCCCAAGTGTATGATTAGGATGGGAATCTATAGAACTGACATTACTGTATTCATATATGTTGATCTGATTTTGAGAATCAGAAAACACTATCAATATCTTGGGGAAGTCTTGTTCTTTGAGATTCTTTTCATGCTCTATTTTCTAAGAACCTAGGATACCCCAGAAAAACTGTAGGAAGCTTAATTAAGTCTCAAACATTGCATCTTATATAAACTGAAATCCAAATTCTAGCCTGTAGAGGGACTCATTGTCCAGAAAATAATGAATACTGTGGTCCGGCTTCTTCATTTTAAAAAAGAAAATGATTTATTACCTTATTTAAAAAATCTATCTGTTTCATGAGAGGTAGTGTGATATGGTGCATAGTAATCCAGGGAGTTAGGTTCTAGCCTAGGCTGTGACTAATTTGTTTTGAGACTTTCTGAAAGGCAATTAACCTCTTCAAAACTCAGTTCACTTATTCTATAAAATGAAGAGGTTGGATAAGCCAACTTTTAATGTCCTTTTTAGGATTGTGATTTTATGAGTTCACCTTATGGCAGTAGTTCTTAATTGTTTGGGGAGTCATGAAACACCTTGAGAATCTGATAAAAACTGCAAAACTGCTTCCCAATAAATTAACACATACATACAGAAAGTTTGCCATGGAGCCCTTAGAAGATCATGTATGTACCTTCTGTAATCCAAACTAAACCCCTACTTTATGTAGAAAAGGTTTTTGTTCTTTAATCAGATGCTAATTTTTAGCAAATTTAGAGAAAGAAACAGAAAAAAGAAAAATATTATAACACTGCTGTGGAGATCCAGTAAGCAGAAAAAGTTTCATGTGTCCTTTCAGGATTGTAGATGGGTATTTAAATTTTAAGTAAACCTCTGGATAGAATTATAACCTAAATCTTCCCACTAAGTAGATAAAGTAATAATTGCCTTGGTAGTAACATCAAGTAAAATTTAGAATTTGAGATAATTTCCAAGTAGAGCAATCTCATCAAAAAAGTACCTTCCTGCCTCTGCTCATGTATTTGTTTATCAATATGTGTATGATATTACTTTTCCCAGACTAAATATTTACCTGGAGTTCAACATTTACTTTCTGGAATTACTTAGTTATGGGTGACTTGCAATAGAACCACACACTTTCTGAAAACTAAAGTAATTGACTTTCTTTTTAGACAATTCGCCAGAAATTTCCCCTCTTAACGACACGGCGGCTTGGAACAAGAGGCCATTCAAAGTAAGATACATCAATAAGCACCTATCAGACTTGTACATATGACACCTTGTACATGACAATTGACACAATCTAAAATAAGTATTGTCTTTATCGTAATAGAACCAGGTATTTTTTTCTTGATGAAGCAGACTTTTACCAACTGTAAGAACTAAAAAGAAGAAGAAATGGATTTGAGGATAATGTTTATTTAAAAAGGAAAATTCACACAGAGAAATCATAATATTATTTTTTATGATGAAATAGTTTAAATGAATCATTTTCATAATCCTGAAGGCACCAGTGTCATGAAAGGGAAATGTATGTAGCTAAATAAGTGACCAGATGGAACCCACACTTCTAAAGAGCAAGGCCAAAGCCAGGGGTTGAAGCATGGTTTAGATTCTTTCTCTGGTTTTCTTTCCGATAATAATTTTTTAGAATCCCCTCTCTCCCCTTGAAGACAAATAATATGCCCAAATGACATCTTTGGTCATCTCTTAGTGTAAATATAAACATAAAATAAGGTGTCATATATTCCCTCTTTTGATAACTAGCTATTTTTTCTCTTATGACAATCTTTGTAGGACCCACAGCTACAGGTTCTTGTCTATCAGTTATTTATTCTTTTCAGCTTTTAGTTTTTCCTTTCCTTCTGCCTACAAACATATCCAGATCTCTTTTATGTTGATAAAAATAAAATAATCTCAAACCTACTATACTACTCTTTCTAATTACTGTTATTCTTTTTCTCTTTGCCAGTTCTTTCAAAAAAAATTTTTTTTAAATCCTCACACAAGGATATATTTTTATTGATATTTTTGGAGAGAGAGAGTGGGAGAGGGAGAGAGAGAAAAACATCTATTAGTTGCCACCCGTGGATGGAATCCACAACCTAGGTATGTGTCCTGACTGGGAACCGAACCTGTGACCCTTTGTTGCATGGAACTACGTTCCAACCAACTGAACCAAAAAGGCCAGAGTTCTTTGCTGTTTCTTGAAAGGGTAGCTATCTGCTCACTTCTCCTAGTGCGAATCCCATGCCTCTGTTCTAGTCTACTTCTTTACTAGCCGTTGGGCAAAACCCCGATGGCTCATTTTTACTATTACTCATTTTTGTTTTTGACACCTGCCTGTCTAGCATTTGAACCTGTTGATAATGACCTTTTAAAATAAATATATACATAAAACATCCTCTATGGCTTCTCCATCACAGCCCTGCCAGGCCTCTTCCCTCCCCATCTCATTTTCTAGTGTGTGGGTGTCTCCTGCTCTAACATCTAGTTCAGCACTGTCCAATGGCATATAATACAACCGCATAGTTAAAAAAAATTCTAGGAGCCACATAAGAAAAGTAAAAAAGAACAGATAAAATTGATTTCAATGTTTCATTTAATCCAACATATCCAGAACGTTTGATTACCATGTAATCAAAATACCAATTAGTAATGAGATATTGTACGTTCTTTTTTTTTCCTACTAAGTTTTTGAGATCCAGTGCGTCTCAACTCAGACTAGTCACATTTCAAGTGGTCAATACCCACATGTGACTAGTGGCACCCTATCGTCTAGCTCAGTCTTAGTCACTTGCCAAAAAAGAGGCCCTATTTTTGGACTCCTCTAGAATCTGTGTGTCTTCATTCTCATTTTCATAACCTGGCCTGGACTTGGTCTTTCCAGTCTGTTCAATGCAGCTTTTCCCAAATTGACCTTCTAAAGTTCAGATTCCATCATGCCTCTCTTATGTTCAGGAACTCTCCCTGGCTCATAATTTCTACTATGAAAGGCAAACTTTCCTCACCTGGACATTCAGGGTTTGTTATGATGAGGTCCCAACCCGTTTTCCTATCTTATAGTCTGATTCTCACTTGTCAGCATGCAGTCCATGCTCTTCCCAAATTACTGTCCTGTTGCCCACTGCCCCCCCTCAGCTGTCACTCCTGGGTGCTGCTGTTGGCCGCCATTGAAAAGGACCTCTCCCTGTGGTTATCCTGCAATATGACCCATTCAAAAGAATGTTCCATGAACTTCCTCTTCTTAGGAATCTTTTTTTAGTCTCTTGATTTATTGTAGGATTTATTTTTTACTCTCATAGGAATCTCTTGGTACCTATCACATTTAATGTGAAATTAACCTGTTTCTTCCCCTCAATGGATAGTGAGTATTTTGAGGATAGAGACTTTGTCTCATTTATACTCATGTTTTATCTGTTGTCTGATACACAGTAAGATTATCAATTAGTGTTTATCTAATTGATTTCAATTAATGTTAACAGTATTGTGGCCTGAGGAGAAATAAAATGCCAGATTGAAAGATAATATTGGCTTTTTCCTTCTAACCAAGTCAGCTTTTTTTCAAAGTTGACTCAGTTTATCTGGCTGATTTCTACTGAATTTGATTTTTACTGAATTGTGTGTGGAGGAAAGATTAGTTAGTGTTTGAAATAGATAGATAATAGAAAAAGGCAAAGCAATGCTGAGAAATCCTCTTCATAGGATCTGCAAGAGGCAGGCAGGCAGGCTGCAGAGAAAGTCAATTAATCCTAGAAGGAGCCTTTAGGATTAGGGATGAATCATTAACCCTGTCCTTTGTGACACAGCGAGGCCCCACTGTTTAAGTTTATGTAACAATAAATGGTGACTTCAGGCAATTTGTTTGATATCTAAGAGCAGGCATGCCCAAGAGCAAAGCATTAGCAATCTGAATTTTCTTCTACCTTCCTGATATGCCATCTGCTTATTATAGCTTGCTATTATATGTTTGGCATTTTGATATCATGGGGAAAAAAGAAAATTTCCATATGTAAACTAAGGATGTTGAAAGATATGGCAAAATGTAGTTTGTGTACCTTGTTATTGGTAAGGTTTTGGTGTAATTATTCTTAGCCAGGTAGTTTTATTTTTTTATATATTTTTAAGAAATACCCTTAGATTTTTATCTTGGGAGATAGTATATATCAAAAGGCAGCATTTCCTAGTGGTTAGGAGCATGAGGTTTAAAGTTGGACAAATTTAAGCTTTAATTCCGTACTTTTGTATAGAGTTGTATGACTCTAGATGAATTGTTCAGCTTTTCATTAATAAAGTAAATATAAAATATCTACCTCATAGGTTTCTTCTGAAAATGAAATAAAGTATAGAATGAATGAAGAAATGAATGTTTTCAACCTTTTTTTTCTTAATAATATGAAATTAATAACTCAATGCATCCAAATATCAGATATGCAGTTAAAGTTACTATATATTGAACACTACACACACACACACACACACACACACACACACACTGTAATCCTTACAATGACAATATAAGATTGGAATTCCTGTGTTTTACAAATGAGGAAACTGCAGTTAAGATTATTGACTTGCCCAAGCCCACACAGATACTATAAAATAACAATATTGGCATTTAAGTCAAGGTTTATTGGCTCTAACGTTTGTGCTTTGTCAACTAGTAAAGCCTGCTTCTTTCTGATGTGAGTCATATCAACAAAACAATAGTTTAGTTGAACTTTTATTTTTTAAAGTATAAATTTTATTTTTTTTTCTGATCTAAGTTTTAAAACTTTATTAATATATTAAATTCTTTTTCAAAGAGCTAACAACATTTTCTCAAGCTTTAATCATAAGGCATTTAAAATTATTTTATACTTATTGCAATATATTTATATTTTATATGAAAGCAAATTTGTAGTACAAATACAATTTTGCTTTCTGCTTTTAATTTTTGTCTGAAACATTTCTATATGTTTGTATATTCTCATCATCATTTTTAATGCTGTTTAATATTTTAAACATTTACATTTTATGAAAGATATTTTTATGTCTGTAGAAATATGAACAAATGATTAACCAGAAATATAAATGAAGAAGTAAACATATTGGAAAAACAGGAATTTATATTTTCTCCCAATTTTACTAGTAATTTTGTAAAATGTATTTTATTGTCATAATATTTAGCATAATGCCATAAATATACTATTACTGAATGATTTTTAAATTATTTCAAAATATAAATAAGTTGGGTATTAATTTATTTTAACTTTTATGGATTATATATTAGAATATATTAATGATGGTCATTTAAAAATATAAGTTCTCAATTTTTGCCAAATTCTTATGGAATATGTTAGAGTATATCCAATTGTTTCATTTGGGTCTTTCAGACATAAATTATTTTAGATCATGATTAACATAAAAGATTCTTCTGTGATGTGGGCACAAGATGAACCACTGTTTCTAAAACTGTCCTTAGATGCTTTTAGGGTCCATGGAACAATGTCACTTTCCAGATTTTACTGGTCCATGTATGAAATCTAAAAGTCTGGGAAACACTGATATATGGTGACAAAGAGATGGTTAATAGAATCTAAGAAAATTGGCGTGAATTCTGTGTTTATTTTCAAGTTCTGTTTCTCTTAAGTTCTGACATAACTGGGTATTAAAATGGTCAGCCCTCACAAATCACCTTTGTGCAGGTGCTACCTCTTTCCCTCACCAAAAAGTGAAAGATGAAAACAGTTTAAATAAAATGAGTCAAAAACTTGTTCAACCAAAGGAAGAGAGAAAATATTAAAAACAAGCAGATATACTAAAAATAAACAAAATAAAACACAAAGGGACAGATTCACTATGGACAGCCCACTGTCAAAATTAGAAACTATTAAAAATGGAATAATTTGTTTCCAGTGGCAAGTTGGATATTCCTCATAACAAGCCATTGCTGCCAAAGGTTATGGAAAAGGGTCTCTACAGATTAGCACGTGGGGTCAGAAAGCTTCACGCTAGAGCATCTAACCTAAGTGTGATTTTGGGACAAAGCCACTCCAGCTGCAGGCAACATTAGCGTCTCAGCTCCCCATCCCTCCCTTCACTCTTACCATCCTCCTCTCTGCCAAGAAAACCAATGTCCCCAATGGCAGATCCTTCCCATTCTCAACAGCAAGATGAAAACTGACTTTGCTTTTGTGTTTTTTCTTCTCTTTGATTTACCACCAATGCCAAAAATACATACGTGGTTATTTT